TGAAATGTGAGACTTCTTCTTGGTGAGTTAAACAGGCTACACCAGAAGTAGTTGTCACACAAAGCAGAAATTTTATTTACAGCATGCAGCAAATAAAATGGAGACCATAGGAGATATTTCACAAAGCTATGGCTCCCTGAGCATGGGTAGTGGGTGCCTTTTATTTGGGGAAGGGAATGAATATGAATAGAGAAAGCTTTATCTTGGGGTATGTGCAGAACTTCCTTCTTGTGTGTAGCACCTTCTGTACATGTGCCTGTCTGTGCGTGGCACCCCATCGCCCTCTTGGATCTTTCTGGTTTGGGCTGGTTCTCTGGTTTGGCCATCTGACAACATTCTGTCTCAGTGTGCCGTCTTAGTTCCTGTAAGTAAGCATAACTTCAAGACAAAGTGCTAGGTATGTAAAGTTTTAAGGACTTCCCAGTTACTTTGAGGAGCTACTAACTGCTGATGAGACTTTTCTTTTTTAAGCAACTAAGCGACAAGCAACTCTTTAAGCCTAAGTCAGTCTTTAAGCAGCTCGGTGTAGGTAACTGGTGACATAACCACCAACTAGATCAAGATATTTAATGTTTTCACTGCCACTGAATGTTCCTTTATGACCTTCCCAATGTTTAACAACAACCTCCCTTTCCCTGAGGTGGGCACTATTCTATTATTATTGGTTAATATTGGCTGTTGGTGAAACTCAGATGTATAGAATTGGTGCGTACACTTTTATATCAGGCTTCTTTTGTTCAATATGTGTTAGATGCGTCCATGTTGCTGCGTGTTCCAGTAGTTCATTCCTTTTGTTACTACAAGGTAGTCCACTGCATGAAAATACTATAATTTATCCATTCTCCTCTTGACAGGCATTTTATTATTTCTTTTATATCTGGTAGCTTTTTAGTTGTACCATTTTGTATTTTTTTTTTAGTTTTTACTCTGGATGTTACAATATGCATTTGTGATATTGTGATATATAGTCAGGAATATGTATTTTGGTCTTTGTCCAGGGTTCCTGACACATAGCTCCTAAGACTCTTGTAATATCCTAAGTGATACGCACTGTAGGGACATCTTTTTTTATAGTATTTAGTTTTTGTTCCCAGTTCCTGAAATGATTCCATAGCAATTAAGGTGAAATTGGTGCCTTTTGTTACTCATAACAAACCCCTTTCAACCACACCTGAGTTTATGTTAATGAGGTGACTTTGGAATGCTCCTAAGGATGAGACACTGGTTGCCAGAATGACCATGGGATTAGAGGGTTGGAACTTTCAGTCCCACCTCCCAACCTCTGAGGATGGTAATGGGGTTGGAGGCTGAATTAATCACTAATGGCCAGTAATTTAATCAATCGTGCCATGTAAATGAAGCCTCCATAAAAATCCCTGAGCTGTGGGATTCAGAGAGCTTCCAGGGAGGTGCTTGGAGGGTGGTGCACCTTGAGAGGGCATGGAAGTTCTGTTCTCCTTTCCCTGTACACTGCCCTATGTGTCTCTTCCATCTGGCTGTTCCTGAGTTGTATCCCTTTATAATAAACCGTTAATTTAGTAACTAAATTGTTTTCCTGTGTTCTGTGAGTGAATCTAGCAAATTACTGAACCCAAGGAGGAGGCTGTGGGAACTCTGACTTATGTACAGTTGGTCAGATGCATAGGTGACAATTTGGACTTGCAGTTGGCATCTGAAGTGGGAGTAGTCTCGTGGGACTGAGTCCTTAATCTGTGGGATCTGCTGCTGTAGTGTCAGAATTGAGTTATTGCTTGGTGTGGGAAAAACTTCCACACGTTTGGTGACCAGAGTAGCATGTGAGTAGAGTAAAACAGAGGAATTAAGTTTTTCCTCTGCCGTATTCTGAATTTGTTTTTGTCTACCTTAAATTAGTGCTTTACTGCTTCATAGACAATGCAAGAATTTTAAAACTGTTTAACTTCATTTATCTTGTTGCTGGAGTTGTGATATATTTTACTTCTGTGCGTGTCATAGATTCCAAGACATTACTTGTTGCTCTAAATTCCATTTTCAGTTTTCTTCATTCCTTCTTGCAGTTTTGTGCTTATATGAGGTATTATTTTCCATAACTATAGTATTTCTTGTTGTGTATGTGTCCTGTTGACAATTTTTTGACCTCTATGTGAAAAATATATTCATTTTATAAATATTTTTGCTAGGTTTAGAATTTCCTAGTGGTGGTTTTCTTAGCTCTTTAAAATGTCCTTCTATTTTGATTTTCTCATTTGCAAATTGCCTATTCAAATCTTTGCCCAGTGTCTTCTGACTTCCATAGTTTTTATGAAAATAGTTGCTGTCAGTTTTGTTCTTGAGATGGCCTCTCTTTTTTCTCATTAATTTATAAAATTTCTTTCTATATTAGAAATAGGATTTCTTTGTTAGATCTGTGTATTCTGAATGTCTTTTCCCATTCTGTATATTCCATTTTTATTCTCTTTTGATAAGGTTAGATTCTTAATATAGTATGATTAATATAATTTGTGTTGTGTTGAAATCTTCACCTATCCCTAGGTCATGAAAGTATTTCATGGTATTTTCTAAACTTTTTACTGGTTTACTTTTCAAATTTAGATCTATGAACTGTCTAAAATGGATTTCTGCTTACACTTCAGATCACAGTAAATACTCATTATAATTAAACTATTTATTGAAATAATTGTCCTTATGTTACCCTAGTCATAAGTCAAGAGACCATATATATGTGGGTCAATTTTTGGGCTCTCTTCCATTTTGTTGATACATTTAAAAATCCTTATGCCTGTGTCACAGTGTTTTAATTATGGCACATGGATAATTATACTTGATATATAGTATTTCTTCTGGCTTTATTTTCCTTCAAGATTGTCTTATCTATTCTTAGCCCTTTGCATTTTTGCATATTTTGGAATTAGCTTATCTAATATACAAGGAAGTATATGCTGGGATTTTGTTTGAGATTGCTGTGAATTTGTACATCAGCATGGAGAGAATTGATATTTTCATAATATTGAGGCTTCCTATCCAGAAATTTATTATATGCCTTCATTTATGTGGGTCTTTTTTATTTTCCTTCATAATATTTTGTAATTTTCTTTGTAGAAATTTTCATATTATTCATGCTATTGTTGATTGTACCTTAAAAATTTTATTTTCTGAAATTTGTTAAATTGAACTTGTATCCAATTTCTAAGACTTTAATTTTGGATACTTTTATTTGTTTTTTTCTGTGTATAGGATTGTTTTGCCATGTTACCCTTAAGAACTTTCAAAAAATGTTGACTAAAATTGGAGCTAGCAGGGTCCTTATTTTGGTCCTAGTTTTAAGTGGAACACTTTCCATATTTCACCATTAAGTGTGATATTTGCTGTGGATTTTATAAAAATCCTTTATCACACTGAGGAAATTCCTTTCTATTTCTAGTTTGCCAAGAAGTTTTTTTTTAAATCATGCTTTTTTGTATCTACTGGGATGATCATATCATTGTCTTTAAAACTGTTTGTTCTTATTTTTATTTCCACCTTTCAGAAAATTCCTGCATGGTCTTCATGGCCTGTTCTTTCTCTGTAAGCCAGTTAAAAAGTGATTTTCCCTCAACTTCCATTCTTGGTTATTTTTAGTCTCTTAGTTCTCTCAGAGTTTTCTTATTCATTCTTGATGACTTCAAACACCACCAAATTATTAATGTCTACAAAATTCTTATTTTCATTCTAGACTTCCAGTATTATGCTTTACTTTTATTATATATTAACCATATCTTTCTGAAATAGAGTGCCCAATCTATTTTCTCTTTTCTGGCTAATTTTGTGACACTGTTATCTGTTCAGCTGTTCATGCATATACCCTGAGGGAACATTTCCTTTCTGCCAATGAATTGGTGACTACATACTGTTGCTGTCTGTCTCCTTTATCAGTGCTCTATTTGCATCCCAGTTTCTATTATAACAGTTTATGTAAGTCGTGTTGTTTTGTCTTTTGGCTTCCCCTCCCATTTTTAAGAGAATTGGTTTTATAAATAAAAACTTAGTCACATAACTTTAATATATGCTCAAGTCACTTGTTTGGCTCCCCTTTCTCCAGAACCGTGATCCCTAAAGTAGAGGCATGCGTTCTAGATGATATCGAAGAGAATCCAGTTGGATATCTTCTTGTAAAAATGTTCTACAGACATTTTGAGTACAACAGTTCCAAAATTGTTCCCTTTTCATTTGCTACACAACCTAATTATCTCTGAATTGAAAAGTTGGAACCTAGAATGTGTATTGTAGTGAAATAAAATATTAGGCTGTCTTTCTGTATTTTTAAGTCTAAATAAGAATGAAATTAAAATTGTAATATATCTATTTCTATAATTTATAAATAAAAACTTCTGTAGTGCTAAAAAATATTCTTTAAAGTGGAAAGTGATCACATACTATGGAGAGTATTGGTCTAAAATTGCTCTGTAATCCATTCCCTGAATACCTCCATGGCCGTTTGTCTTATCACAGCTGCAGGCTGTATTCTCAGCTCCTATGCTGGGTGCCCTTTTGCTCATTTCCTGAATGTGTTAGAGGCTGCCTGCGTTTGCATGTGCCATGGCTGTGTATTCATGAAGAACACAGTATTACTCTTCATCTAGCAGCTGTTCTTCCTCATTGAAGCTCAAAATAGAGCTAATTTTGCTCCTCAGTTACGTTAGTCTCTCTTCTGTGTACTTTGACCATAGCGTTTGTGGCATATTACTGCATATGTTTTCTTACCAGATGAAAAGCTCCTTGAATGCAAGAAGATTTTTATTAATCGTAGTATTTCCGAGAACTAGAATAGTTCCAGATACATTGCGAGGACTTGATAATTTTTTTACATGAATAATACCTTAATGCAATGGCAGAATATTTCTATTATGATTTCTCTTCTTCCCCCAAAGTATAAAGCAAAACAGACATTCTGCAAACCATTTTGGTAATCTGTAAACAGTAACCATGGTAAGGATTAGTTCTCATACAACTTTTTCCATGTCACCTAATTCTGAACATTTCAGATTGAACAGAAATTCCAGGGATCAGTGTCATTTAAGGATGTGACTGTGGGCTTCACCCAGGAAGAGTGGCAGCACCTGGACTCAACTCAGAGGTCCCTGTATAGAGATGTGATGCTGGAGAACTACAGCAACCTTGTCTCAGTGGGTAAGATTTGTTATGTAATTCTAAATAGCATCTTAAAATTCTTTTAATTATGAAGCAGATGGACACTCTCTAAGAGTTTAGACATGTTTAAGGTTGGAATTCAGGAATCAGTGTTGATTGATCATTTTTGGGCTCTGTGAAGATATTTGTTTACCTCTCCAGTGAAATGTTCAATGATACCTTCACTGAGCAGCTCCAGAAGCTTCTTCCTCTTTCAGAGGCCCTCAAGTCTAGGCCACTTGGTCCAAGTCCTAAATTATTTCACTTTGACAGGGTATTGTGTTACCAAACCAGAAGTGATCTTCAGGCTCGAGCAAGGGGAGGAGCCATGGATATCGGAGGAAGAATTCCCAAGCCAGGTATTCCCAGGTGAGTTAATGTGTACTGCACAGATGAACTTCAGAGGATTTATTGTTTCCCTGTGGTTAATCTAGAGGTTGACAACTTTGAAATGTGTTTTTCAGGAATATCTCTTTAGAAGTCCTGATCCTTGGAACTGACTAAGAATACTCATTTTTGAGCCCAACCTCCAGATGCCACTCTCATAAAAAATGTTCTTTTTCATTCGTTTTTGAAAATTTACCATTTTTACATATATCAACAGTCTAGTCTTTAGCAACCTCGTTTTACTATTTTCTTTCTTGGTTACTCTATGTTTCTCAAAGCAATTTCACTTGCCCACCTTAACTCCATTGCACTGCGTTTTTGCTGTGAGGCATTCTTTCATATATTCACTTTCTGATTCACATAATTTTTTAGTACCTGTATAATCTAAAAGTTGAGAATATAGTAGTGAAAAAAATATATGTCTTAATGAGTTTATATAAGTAGTGCTAATGGCCAACAGGTACATGAAAAGATACTCAGCATCACTAATCACCAGGGAAATGCAAATCAAAACCATAATGAGATATCATGTCACACCATTTACAACAGCTAGCATCAAGAAGATCAGAGATCAGGTATTGGTGAGGATGGGGAGAAAAGGGAACACTTGTGCACTGTTGGTGGTGATGTAAATTGTTTCAGCTACTATGGAAAACAATCTGGAGGTCCCTCAAAAATTTAAAAATAGAAGCACCATATGATCTGTCAATTCCACTTGTGGGTATATACCCAAAATGAAAACAGGATATTGAAGAGATAGATGCACTCCCATGTATATCACAGCATTATTCACACTAGCCAAATATGGAAACAGCCTAAGAGCCCATCATTGGATGACTGGATAAAGAAGATGTGGTGTGTATATATTGATATATATGAGTATGTATACACAGACACACATACACACACACAAGGAGTATTATTTAGCCATGAGAATGGAGGACACCCTGCCATTTTTGCAACAACAGGGATGGACCTTAAGCACATGTGGAATGCTAAGTGAGATAGGTCAAAGACAAGTACTGTATAGTATCACATATATGTGAATCTAAAAAAAAGCCAAACTCAGAACCAGAGAGTAACATGATAGGTACCAGGGGCTGGGGGGTGGGGGAATAGGACAGGTATTGTCTAAGGGTATAAACTTGTAACAAGTAGTAAATATGTCCTAGAGATCTAATGCACAGTATAGTGAATATAGACAACGATATTGTATTATAATTATCAAACTTACTAAGAGACTAGAACTTAATTATTCCCATAGGAAATGATAATAAGTAACATGAAAGAGGTGTTAATTACCGCTGTAGCGATGGGAATCTTAGTACAGTATGTAAATACATCAAATTAACATGTCATACCCCTTAAATTTGAGTTATATGTCAAATATATTTTAATTTTAAAAAGTAGCTAAACACATAAACACATACATATGTGTATTAAATGCTCTGTGGTGGTAAAAACTATTAAAGAAATTAGAGCAGGGTTAAATTGATTGAGTGTGCTGTTACCATTAGAGCAGAATTTGAATGAAATGATTGTGTGAGCTGTGAGGATTCTGCCTCTTCTCAGCAAGGGTAATAGCAACTGCTAAGCCCATGGGTAGGAATGTGCTTGGCATTTTTGAGAAATAGTGAAAAAAGTCACAGTGGCCATGGGGGAGTGGTTAATGGGAAGAGGGGCAGGAGATGATGTCAGACAGCTGTAGTCCAAAAGATGAGAATATCATGAGTCTTATTAAAGATTTTAATTTTATTCCTAATTTATTAGTATATTTTGGCAAATGAGCAACAAATTAAGTTTGTATAAGATCTTTCTTATCTCTATGGAGAAAGTATTGGGAAGAGCATAAGCACTTAGAGAACTCATTAGGGGACTGTAGTTTTCCTTATGAGTTTCTTTATGAGTTTACGTACTTTTCTTTATGAGTGGTTGCTGTCTTTGTTATGGTCACTTAGACAAAGTTGGAAGGCATGGACGTAATGTGAAGAGGTTGGATTCTCTCTGTATTTGGAAAGTGAGGCAATAGCAAAAGAACTAACATTTCTATCATCAGAGTAACAAAAGGAGAGGTGAGTGGTACTTCAAGTATTTCAAGAAATAATGGTTGAAAACTTCTCCAATTTGGCAAAAGACCTGCTGTTTCTCCCGTATATCTGAACTTTTCCTGTTTCTTTTATATGTCTTGTAATTTTCTTGAAAAATGGATATTTTAGATAATATTTTGTACGTACTCTGATAACTGATTCCTTTTCTCTCTCCAGGGCTGCTTGTTATTTTGCTTGCTAATTTATTTGTTTAGTGACTTGGCTGGACTATTTGAGTGAAGTGTTTTCCTCCCAAGTATTCTGTCTCTGATCTTGCTTGTCAGGGAGCTCTGCCTTGGGCATGCACACTCTCCTTAGAATGACAATGGTGTTAACAGAGTGCTCTTTGAGTGTCTCTGTGATGGTTAATTTTGTCTGTCAGTTAACTGGCAGAAGGGATGGCCAGATAACTGGTAAAACTTTATTTCTGGGTGTCTCTGGGGGGTGTTTGGAAGTGATTAGCATTTGATTCAGTAGAATGAGTAAAGAGATCCACCCTCACCTATATGGGTGGGCATCATCCAATTCCTTGGGAGCCCAGATGGAACAGAAAAGTGAAGGAAGAGCAAATTCTCTCTCTATTCTTGAGCTGGGACCTTCTCCTGCCCTCAGACATCAAAGCTCCTGATTCTTGGGCCTTCAGACTTCAAGACTTACACTAGCAGCCCCCTAGTTTTCAGGCCTTTGACCTTGACTGGGAGTTATATCATTGGCTCCTAGTTCTCAGGCCTTTGGAGTTGGACTGAATTATACTACTTGCTTTCCTGGTTCTCCAGCTTACAGATGGCAGATTGTGGGACTTCTTGGCCTCCGTAACTACATCAGCCAGTTTCCTTAATCAATCTCTGTCTCTCTCTCTGTCTCTTTCTTGGATATATATGTTTATCATATATATCCTATTGGTTCTGTTTCTCTGGAGTACCTTGATTAATAGTCTGTTTCTCTGATCTGTATGTTAACTTGTCTGCTCTCTGTGGGTGTCTTACCCTGCTTTTTGTCTCTACTAATTGATTGTTTGTTGTTTCCAACAATGTCCTGGTCATATATTGCTCTACAGATTGGTCCAATATTTTTTTGCAGAGAAAGATTGCCCTGAGCTAACATCTGTTGCCAATCTTCCTCTTTTTTTTTCTTCTCCCTAAAACCCCAGTGTGTAGATATAAGTCCTTCTAGTTCATTTATATGAGCTGCCACTAAAGCATGACAACTGACAGACAGGTGGTGTGGTTCCATGACCAGGAAATGAACTCTGGCTGCCAAGGTGGAGAGTGCAGAACTTTAACCACTAGACCATCAGGGCTGGCCCTTAGAAGGGACATTTCTTAACCTGAAAAAGGGCATCTGTAGGAAACCTCCAACTAGTATTGTGCTTAATGATAAAAAAAAAAACCCAAAGATGAATAGTTTCTTTCCAATATCAGGAACAAGACAAGGATATCCACTTGTACTCAGTAATGTAATGTAATCTATCTAGTGTAATCACGGAAGAAGAAGAAACGGAGATCAGAGTGGAAAAGAAGAAGTAGAACTGTCTTTAGTCATAAAAAAATATGTTTATGTACAAAATTCAATGGAATCTACAGATAAATGACTAGAACTATTAAGTAAATATAGTTTGGAGGATACAAGTCGATATACAAAAATCAATTTTATTTCCATATGCTTCCAATGATAAATTGGAAATTGAAATTTTAAAAAGCAGTGTTTGCGGGGGCTCTCCTGGTGGCATAGTGGTTAAGTTCGCACACTCAGCTTTGGCCACCCGGGGTTCTTAGGTTTGGATCCCAGGCGCGCACCTAGCACAACTTGTCAAGCCACGCTGTGGCAGTGTCCCACATAGAAAATGGAGGAAGATTGGCACAGATGTTAACTTCATGACAATCATTCTCAAGCAAAAAGAGGAGGATTGGGAACTGATGTTAGCTCAGGGCCCGTCCTCCTCACAAAAAATAAATAAAAAGCAGTATTTGCAATAGTGTGAAAAATATCTTTTGTAGGTATGTCTGGCAAAAGATGTGAAAGACCTCAGTGAAAACTATAAACCATTGCAGAGAGAAACTGAAGACCTAAATAAATGGAGAGAGAGAACTGTGTTTATGTATCAGAATGCTCAATATTGTTAATATGTTTTTCCCCTTAAAAGTCTTTTCTCTACATTCAGAATAATCCTAATCTAATTCCCAGCAGCCTTTCTTATAGCAATTAACTAGATCATTGTAAGTTTTATATAGAAGTGCAAAAGGGCTAGAGTAATTACAACAACTTTGAAAACTGAAAGGTAAGTTGTAGGGCTAATGCTGTCTGATTTCAAGACTTATTATCAAGTTACTATAAATAAGACAGTGCAGTGTTGACATCAAGACAGACCTCATAGATGAAGTGGATCAGAATACAGAGCCCAGAAGTAAATCCATTCATATATATCATAATGTCAAAATTTATCAAATTATATGGTTTAAACATATTCAGTTGATTCATCAACAGCACCTCACTGAAGCTAGTTTGAAATTGCCAAGGAAGTTTCTAAATGGCTGCTCTCAATTTCTGTATTTATCTCATCACATTGTACTTGTTACATACATTATATTGACTTGCAGTGATACACAAACCCCACTTTTGAGTACCACTGCTTTAGGGACACTTTTCCAAATATTCACCAGGGATATATAGAGTTCACCTGTCTGTATTGTTCATAATGACAGAAAAACAAAATCAACCAGACTGTCAAATGGAGGAATCAGTATGTACATTACAGTATATTCTCAGTCGTATTTTATCTATATTTATGTGCAACAATGTGGATGAATTTTGGAAACTTAGAGTGAGAAAAGCAAGTACAGAAGTATACTTACAGTATAATATATTAATAATTATAGAACATGGAAAATTTTCAAAGAAATAAATTTTGATTAAATCCAGTTTCATGATTTTGGAAGATTTTTCAGTGAAGGGAAAGGATTTGTATGGCTAAAAGGCACGTAGATATTTTCAAAGATACTGCTTTTCTTGAATGGACTGTATGGTGGATGATATAGTATCAGTGTACAGTTTTGAGTGAGATCCTGCCTTTATTCTTAGGTTTCTGGTGAGACCTCTCTCCTCAGCTTGCAGACACCACCTGCTTGCTGTGTCCTCACATGGCCTTTTCTCTGCCCACAAGGAAAGCAAGAAAGCTCTGGTGTCTCTTCCTCTTCTAATAATGATACGATTCCTATCAGATTAGCCCTCTATCCTTATGACCTCATTTAAACTTAATTACCTCCTTAAAGGCCCTGTCTCTAAATATGGTCACACTGGGGATTAGAGCTTCAACATATGAATTTGAGAGGGGGACACAATTCACAATTCTGTCCATAACAGGCTGTTTGTAATTTAAGTCCTTTTCTAAGATCACTTTGTTGTTTTTACAATTTTATTCTTCACTTTGTTCAGCTCTTGCTTTGTTATTTCCTGTATGCTTCACAAATCCCTTCTTTTGGATTTCCCAGTAGTTTGAGCTCTCATCTATCAGAACTGAGGCATCATCTCAGTATTTTCCCACTCAGAGTGGGACTTCTCCTTTCTGGGAGTAATTTTATTCGTGTTTAATTATCTCTAAGTTCTTTGCCTCTTCTTTTACATGAGTTTGCCGCAGTCTCCAGCTCACTCTTTCCATAGATGTGGGTTCTATATCACTTTCTTCTATATTTGAATATTTATTTCCTTACTTAGTGGTGATTTGAAGTTAGTAGTATTCTGTGTTTCCTAATTATGCTGAAGTCATGAGTTGTTGTAGCTAATTTTATTTGCTTTCCTTATATTAATCCTTATAGTTTTTTGGAGGATGGATACATGGAGAGATTCAGATTTAAACAGTTGCTATGATTCTTCAGACATTGGAAACCAAATGTACGTGTCCTAATAGCCAGTTTCCTCTCCCTTTTCCACTGTGCCAGGGTTTTTGTTTCTTGTTTTTGTTTTTTCACTTCAAACCCAAGAAATAGAAAAAAGACATTTGCAGTTATTTTCATCCATGGAGACCAGACAAGAAATCAAAGTCAGCTACAACAAAGGACATTTGTGTATAGGTCACATTCCATAAGAAATGTGTTTCTTTATATGATAAGATTAATTTTTCTTATTTCTAGAAGTCTGGAAATCTGATCAACTGAAAGAAAGGAGCCAAGAAAACCAGTCTAAACGTGTGTGGGAAGTTGTATTCATCAATAACAAAAAGCTGACTAAAGAACAAGGTAATGTGATAGGAAAACCATTTAAGTTGGACACAAATTCTTTTCCTTCCAGAAAAATACTCTGTCAGTGTGACTCATGTGGAGTGAGTTTCAACTGTATTTCAGAATTGGTTATCAATAAGAAAAACTGTTTAGGAAAAAAGACTGATGAATTTACTGCCTGTGGAAAATTGCTACTCAATATTAAACATGAGAAAACTCATCCTAGAGAGAAAAGTGAATTTTTTAAAAATGGAAAGACTTTCAGTCACAATGAGGACCCTGTTCAGCATGAGAAGATACAAACTTTAGAGCAAAATTTTGAATATAACATATATCGAGAAACCTTCCTTGGAAAGGCAGTATACAATACACAGAAGAGGGAGATCACAGAAGGGAATGACTGTGAATATAATGAATACAAGCAAATTTTCTGTGATAACTCATCCTTCTTCTTACATCAGATAACCCCCTCAAAGGAGAATCACTATAGATTTAGTGATTGTGGGAAATCCTTGTGTGTGAAGTCTACCCTTTTGAAACATCATGGGGCCCATATAAAATACTATGAATGTAATGAAAGTGGGAATAATTTCAAGGGGAAGTTATACCTCTCACAACTTCAGAAAACTCATAAAGGAGAGAAACACTTTGAATGTAATGAATGTGGGAAAGCTTTTTGGGAAAAGTCCCACCTCACTCGACATCGGAGGATACACACAGGAGAGAAGCGCTTTCAATGTAATGAATGTGGAAAAACTTTCTGGGAGAAGTCAAACCTCACTAAACATCAGAGATCACACACAGGGGAGAAACCATTTGAATGCAATGAATGTGGGAAAGCCTTCAGCCACAAGTCAGCCCTCACATTACACCAGAGAACACATACAGGGGAGAAACCCTACCAATGTAATGCATGTGGGAAAACTTTTTACCAGAAGTCAGACCTCACTAAACATCAGAGAACACACACAGGGCTGAAACCCTATGAATGTTATGAATGTGGAAAATCCTTCTGTATGAATTCACACCTTACAGTACATCAGAGAACTCATACAGGTGAGAAACCCTTTGAATGTCCTGAATGTGGGAAATCTTTCTGTCAGAAGTCACATCTTACACAACATCAGAGAACTCATGTAGGGGATAAACCCTATGAATGTAATGCATGTGGGAAAACTTTCTACCATAAGTCAGTACTCACCAGGCATCAAATAATCCATACAGGGTTAAAACCTTATGAGTGTTATGAATGTGGGAAAACTTTCTGCTTGAAGTCTGATCTCACAGTACATCAGAGAACTCACACAGGGGAGAAACCCTTTGCATGTCCTGAGTGTGGGAAATTCTTCAGCCATAAGTCAACCCTCTCTCAACATTATAGAACACATACAGGGGAGAAACCCTATGAATGTCATGAATGTGGAAAAATCTTCTATAACAAATCATACCTAACTAAACATAATAGAACACATACAGGGGAGAAACCCTATGAATGCAATGAATGTGGGAAAACCTTCTGCCAGAAGTCACAGCTCACTCAGCACCAGAGAATTCACATAGGGGAGAAACCCTATGAATGTAATGAATGTGGAAAGGCTTTCTGCCATAAGTCAGCTCTAATTGTACACCAGAGAACTCATACAGAAGAAAAGCCCTATAAATGTAACGAATGTGGAAAATCTTTCTGTGTGAAGTCAGGACTTATTTTACATCAGAGAAAACACACAGGGGAGAAGCCCTATGAATGTAATGAATGTGGGAAATCCTTCAGTCACAAATCATCCCTCACAGTGCATCACAGGGCTCACACAGGAGAGAAGTCTTGTCAATGTAATGAATGTGGGAAAATTTTTTACCGTAAATCAGACCTTGCTAAACATCAGAGATCTCACACAGGGGAGAAGCCCTATGAATGTAAAATGTGTGGAAAAACCTTCTCTCAGAAGTCAAACCTCATTGTACATCAGAGAACGCACACAGGAGAAAAATCTTGTGATTGAAGTGAATGTTAGAAATGTTGAGCCACAATTCAGCATCCACTATACTTCAGAGAATTCACGCTGTGGAGAAAGCTCTGTTGACATCCTGAATGTTCAGTAACATTCATCCACAGACTGGCCTTATTTTACTCCAAAGTAATGATAGGGAAAAATCTGTGCAACAAATATAGAAAGTCTTGTTAAGAATTAAAATTTCATTTGATGTCACGTAGCTAATACTGGTATAAAATCTTACAGATTTTTTGATTTTGTAAAAGTTTCTAGCAAAAAATACCAACTAGTTTATGTCAGAATTTATGTTGAGGAGAAATCTGTGAATTTGAGACATATAGCTTGAAAATTTTGTTTAGAAGTAATGTAACATTAGAAGTTGTGCTTTGGTTTTGATGCCTTGGTTATCTTTAGGAAATATAACAAATTATAATTTATAGATGTATATTGTGTAATGTAAAGCTTTAAAAACTAAAAAAATAGTAAAATGAAAAAATAGACTCACAAGAAATTGCAACAGTAGTACATAGAATTCTCATGTGCCCTTCACCAAGCTTCCTCTAATAATAATATTGTACATAACCATTTCTCAAGTATAGGAAATTGATAGTACCCTACTACTAAGTCAGATACAGACCTTATTTAGATTTCGTCTGTTTTTACATACATTCTGTGTGTTTATGTGTGTATTTCTATGAAACTTTATTGTTTGTAGGTTTTAGTAATCATGAACACAGGTTACAAAGTCAAAAAGGAATCTGGAATCTGTACGCGTGAAAGTTACAAAGGAATCAGGGTTTCACCACAAGACGTTCTCTTGTGTTAGTAATCATACGCTTTCTGCCACCGTAATCCTGGCAACCATTTGAATATGAAGCTTTTTGAAAGAAGAGATAAATTTAATGATTAGGGCAACAACATTAAATGCATAAGTGAAATATCCCTTACGTTTGCTGGACTTATGTATGTACAAATGGTGTGGTATGTAAACTGTATGTGTTTCATATGCATAATGGAACTTGTTATAATTGTGAGTAGGAAATAGATGCTCCTAGTTGAGCAGTTGTTACAATGTCAGGCACATCTCCCATGTTTGTAGGGCCTGGAGCAACAGTTTAACAGGATGCCCATGAAGCTCGTGTCTAACCATTTAAAACTTATAAATCAAAATAACAAAATGTTAAATAAAATGTATTCTGTGCATGGGAATATCTAGGCCCTAGTCCCATTGCCCCCTTTCTCTTTTCACCCATGTTTCATCCCAAACCATGAGCTGCCTTGAGTGAACATATGTGAATACTGTAGCGCTCAGCCTAAATTTTGTCCAAACCCTCTGAAAGCAATTGCTCTCCAAGGCAGGGTCTGCAAAAGAAGTCTCAGTCACACTAGATGACACTCAGGGCTGTAAATTGGGCTGTAAACTCAGGGGTCCAATGTACCCAGAGAGGTCCTCAATGACTGCATCCTCAATGACTTTGACTACATGAGAAGGTGGGTTGAGGCTGGAACAGGGCCAGAGTAGAGCTAGAGTGGGGCTTTTATTGGCAGTGTAAAGGTAGTATACTAAATCACATGATCAGATTATATAAATAATTAGGTTGCACAAATAATCTAAGATTACACAATCTAATGATCTTAGATTAGACAAATAGTCTAAGCTTGCATCTTAGGAAACTAGAAAAAGAGCAAAGTAAATCCAAAGTAAGCAAAACAAAAATAATAGTAAGAATTGGAGTGACAAAAATAAGAAGAAGAATTGGAGTGGAAATCAATGAAGTTGAAAACAGGAAACCAATAGAGAAAGTCAGTAAAACCAAATGCTGGTTCTTTGAAAAGGTCAGTAAAATTAATGAACTTATGGACAGGTTAACTAAGAAAAAGAGAAGACTGCTAATTGCTAATATGAGAAATGGAAGAGAGCCATAACTACTGATCTCATGGACATCAGAAAAATTATAAAGGAATATTGTGGACAACTTTATACCCACAAATTTGATAACATGGATAAAATGAACCAGTTCCCTGAAACACACAATCTGCCAAAGCCCACGGAAGGATAAATCTGAATAGGCATATATCTATTAAAGAAATTGAATCAATACTTAATTTTCCAAATCAGAATATACCAGGCCAGATGTGTTCACTGGTGAATTCTACCAAACACTTAGGGGAAGAAATGATACCATTCTCTACAATCTCCAAGAAAGTACAAGCAGAGGGAATACTTCCTAACTCATTCTGTGAGGCCAACATTACCCTAGTAGCAAAAGGAGGCAAAGACATTACAACGAAGGAAAACTACAGACCCCTGTCTCTCATGAACATAGATGTAGAAATCCTCAACAAAATCTTAGCAAATTGAAGTCTACAGTATATCAAAAGAATTAGACACTGTGACCAGGTGGGATTTATTCTAGATATACAAGGCTGATTCAACATCTAATAACCAGTTAATGTAACCTATCACATCAACAGGCTAAAGAGGAAATATCATGATCATATCAATAAATGCAGAAAAACATTTCACAATATCTTAACGCCCATTTGTGATAAAAAAAAGTTTCAGCAAACTAGGAATACAGGGAACTTCATTAACTTGGTAAGGAATATCTACAAAAAAACATACAGCTAAGCATCATACTTAATGATGAGAAACTAAATGCTTTCCCAGTAAGATAAGAAGGTCCTCTTTCACCACTTCTTTTCAACATCCTTCTGGAAGTCCTAGCTAATGCAGTAAGCCAAGTAAAGGAAATAAAACGTACACAGATTTGGAAGGAAGAGAGAAAACTATGTTCACAGATAACATGATTGTCTATGTAGGAAATTCCAAAGAATCAACAAAAAAACCCTCCTGGCACTAATAAGCAATTATAGCAAGGTCACAGGATACGATGCTTTGCAGGTGATAAAAACAATTGAGCTGGGCCAGCCCGGTGGTGCAGCGGTTGGGTGTGCATGTTCCACTTCAGTGGCCTGGGGTTCACTGGTTCGGATCCTGGGGGCAGACATGGCACCGGGTGGCAAGCCATGCTGTGGTAGGCATCCCATGTATAAAGTGGAGGAAGATGGGCATGGATGTTGGCTCGGGGCCAGTCTTCCTCAGAGAAGAAAGGGGAGGATTGGCAGATGTTAGCTCAGGGCTAATCTTCGGGGGGGGGGGGAAGAATTGAGCTATCAAATAACAAAAACCATGGAGGAACCTTAGATGCATGTTGCTAAATGAAAGAAGCCAGTCTGAAAAGGCTTTATACTGTATGATTCCAAGTATAATGCATTCTGATAAGGGCAAAACTTGGGAGACAGTAAAAAGATCAGTGGTTGCCAGGGGTTCAGGGTGAGGGAGGGAGAGAGGGATGAATAGGTGGATTACAGGATTTTTAGGGCAGTGAAACTATTCTGTAGGATACTGTAATGGTGAATATATGTCATTATTCATTTGTCAAAAACCACAAAATGTAAAACACAAAGGGTAAACCCTAATGTATCAGTATTGGCTCCTCAGCTGTAACAAGTGAACCACATTAATGGAAGATGTTAATCATAGCGGGAGCTATGGCGGAAGGTAGAGGTGAAGGGGTGCGTAGGAACTCTGTACTTTCTGCTCAGTTTTTTTGTAATGCTAAGACTACTCTGAAAAATAAAGTGTATTAAATCAATAAACAAAACTGCTTGCATATAGCAATATAGACGAGTATATGAGGATACTTTTTTATATATTTATAAAATTAAAAACTCACATCATTCAGTACCAATTTTCCCACGTTGGGGGTAAATGCAGTCTCAGAAATCATACTGACAATCGCTAAAGCATATTTTCAATTACAGCTTTCTACTTTTCTAAGCCTTATTTCTTTTGGAATTATCTTAAATTCTTTACCTCTCTTTATATCTTATTTCTGTACTGAAGTGTTAGTCATGTTTTTGCACTGCAACTACAGTCACCACTAATGAATATTTAAGTTGTTTTTCTAGTCTTAAAAATAAAGTATAGTAACTGTGGCCTGAAATTAAGCCCTGTGTAATAGACTCTCTTGACATCTGAAACCAGTGGGGCCTCTAATGGCCTAACTGCAAGTTTCCCTCCCCATTCTCCTCCCACAGATAAGATCCTGTAGTCAGACAATCTTCCTTCCTTATCAAGGGGATCAGGCATAGTTGTTGCTTATCTCTGAGTAGCAGGTTTCACCACCCTACCAGCCTGAAGAATTATTCAGACAAGCTATTCACATCCTTTCACAGGAAACCAGGGGATATTGCACCCTCTTGATACTACAGAGCCACTTCCCATAACCCCTAGTTGTTCCCTCTGTTCCCAAGTGCAGTACCTCTGTGGCCTTGCATGGCAAGTGGTGGCCTCCTCCCCTGGCCTCTCACTGCCTCTGACTAATAAACTTATGTAGATCGCATCAGTCCAGTGCCAGGTGTCATGTGTTCAACCATTCCATCACCTGAGGGCGGGAGTGAATGGTGGCAGTTAATACAATTGGCATGATGAACAAGATGGTCCATCCAAGACTGAGGGCACCTCATCAATGTTAATTAATTACTCTTAGCTAACTAACTGCTTCCATGATTTGGCAAAGGCTACATGGGACAGAACCACCAGTTGCTGGCAGGCTTGCACTTTGGCCTGTACTGCACTGCATTCTTTTTTGGGTGTCACTGTCTCTTCCCACCGTAAAAGGCTCTTGTCCCTAAAAGAATTGTTAATTGGCTTACTGTGTGATTTGCCATTGGGTTCAGTCTATTTGGCAGGTGGTCTCTGAGGCTCCTGCCTATAGACCAGTGACAACACAGCACCCCACTGGTCAGCATTGAGCCCCACCTGCCACGGGTCCAGCTAGAGCTCTCTGGTTACAGCATATAGCCTGGTGACCATCCCTGGCTGCTCAGGGTACCCATACATACCATTGTTATTGTGCATCACTGGGATGGGCATATGGATGGCCCTTTGTGCAAAGGTAGGAGACTTCCACTCGAGGGAGAATTGAGCACGGTATCCCAGTTGCCTAGTGAGCTGTTATTGTTCAGGCAAGGGTAGCAGCCTTTCCTCTCTCTGCTGCTCTTTCCCTTGCTGCCATCACACACGCTTGCCTGATGCCTAAGGATATCGAGATGCACATTCATGGTAGCCTGTGGCCCAGACACTGATGAGAAAAGAAAAGGAGACCAGTCCTTTTCAAATTACCAGAAGAGGAAACTCAGCTAGTCTTCAAATACAAAAGCCCTGGTCAATGTACCTGGGTTTTGCTTAGCCCTGCTGTTAAAAACACACCAAAGAACTAATCTTGCAGTCATGGGGCTGGATGGCTTTGACCCAGGCTGTAGACAAAATGACCTTATTGTTTGTGGACCCTGACTCCAGGGAGATCGACTGGCATTCTCTGGAAGAGGAGGCAGCTACCTATGAGCCTGGCTGGTGGGCTCTGCTCCTTTCCTTTGTAACCATCCAGAAGGTCCATATCATGAGTAACAGGATAGAGATAATAACTGAAAGCCAAGGCTTTACATGGCTAGAAATCCAAAATAACCTGAGAGAATTTATACAGAGAGAAATGAGAGAGAGAAGGAAACCTGCATGGCAGGGAAAAAAGAGGCAGTCATAGCAGAGGATAACCTCTGGGTTATGGGCCCAGCATGCTTCTGCTGCACCACTCTGCTGCCTATTACTGTGTTGCAAAAAAAATCCTTATGCTCATAGTTAGAGGGGAAAACACCACCCTTTGGCACAGCAAAGGGGTTAATTCAAATGCAACTTAAGCCATATGAAGGAACCATTACCATGGCACAGGCCTCTAACCCTGACGATCCAACTGGAGGCCTTCTGGAGAAAGGAATTTGTAAATTTGATCTGAGTAAAAGGAAACGCCTTGAAGTAGATCCAGTGACCACAAAAAGAAAAGAAATAGAAAGAATGAAGGGAGGGAGGGAGAGACTTAGATAT